CTATTGGTTCCCTTCACTCCCCCCACAGAAGCCCCCAGCCTTGCTTGTGCCCCTTGCCCCCCACCCACAGCCCCCACCCTGCTGGAGGGCCCCAGCTGCCCGGGCTCTGGGGCCAGGGACCCAGGTCTGCAGCCCCCCACTCCCAGCACAAAGCAGCAGCTGCTGCAGGAGCAGGGAGCCCACAACCCCGGTAATGTTTCCTCGTGGTCTCAGGCTGCGTGAGATGGCTCCACGGCATGGCTCCAACCTGGCCCGGCACCAGCTTATCCAGCTTATTCACCTGGGGCAGAAGCCACGTCAGTGCCCGAAGTGTGGCGAGAGCTTCAACGTGTCCTGCTACCTGACCAACCTCCAGCTCATGCACACCAGGGAGAAGCCACATCGGTGCTCTCGGTGTGGGAAGAGCTTCACCTGCCCCTCCCACCTGGCCCAGCACCAGCTCATCCACACGGGGGAGAAGCTACACCAGTGCTCTGAGTGTGGCAAGAGCTTCACCCAGTCCTCCCACCTGACCCAGCACCGGCTCATCCACACCGGGGAGAAGCCACATCTGTGCCCAGAGTGTGGGAAGAGCTTCACACGATCCTCCCACCTGGCCCGGCACCAGCGTGTCCACACCAGGGAGAAGCCACATCGGTGCTCTCGGTGTGGGAAGAGCTTCACACGATCCTCCCACCTGGCCCGGCACCAGCGTGTCCACACCAGGGAGAAGCCACATCAGTGCTGTGTGTGTGGGAAGAGGTTCACCTACTCCTCCAGCCTGACCCAACACCACCGTATCCACACTGGGGAGAAGCCACATCAGTGCTTGGAGTGTGGGAAGAGCTTCACCAAATCCTCCAATCTGACCAAACACCACCTCGTCCACACAGGGGAGAAGCTACATCGGCGCTCAAAGTGTGGGAAGAGCTTCCCCCAATCCTCCACTCTGGCCCGGCACCAGCGTGTCCACATGGGGGAAAAGCCACATCAGTGCTCGGAGGGCGGGAAGGGCTTCAACCTGTCCTCCTCCCTGACCAAACACCAGTTCATGCACATGGAGGAGAAGCCACATCAGTGCTCAGAGTGTGGAAAGCTCTTCATCCGATCCTCCAACCTGGCCCAGCACCAGCTTATCCATGTCGGGGACAATCCACTTCGGTGCTTGGAGTGTGGGAAGATCTTCATCCGATCCTCCAAACTGGCCCAGCACCAACTCATTCACACGCAGGAGAAGCCACATCAGTGCGTGGAGTGTGGGAAGAGCTTCAGCAACTCCTCCACCCTGACCAAACACCAGCTCATCCACACCGGGGAGAAGCCACATCAGTGCCTTGAGTGTGGGAAGAGCTTCACACGATTCTCCAACCTGACCAAGCACCGGCTCATGCACACCGGGGAGAAGCCACATGAGTGCTTGGAGTGTGGGAAGAGCTTCATCCGATCCTCCAACCTCACCAAGCACCGGCTCGTGCACACGGGTGAGAAACGATATCCGTGCTCGGAGTGTGGCAAGAGCTTCATTGAATCCTCCAACCTGACCAAACACTGGCTCATCCACATGCGGGAGAAGCCACAGCAGTGCTCAGAGTGTGGGAAGAGCTTCGACCTGTCCTCCTCCCTGACCAACCTCCAGCTCATGCACACCGGGGAGAAGCCACATCAGTGCTTGGAGTGTGGCAAGAGCTTCACACGATCCTCCAACCTCACCAAGCACCGGCTCGTGCACACCGGGGAGAAGCCACACGAGTGCCTGGAGTGTGGGAAGGTCTTCATCCGATCCTCCAACCTGACCAAACACCGGCTCATGCACACAGCGGAAATACCACATCAGTGCTTGGAGTGTGGCAAGAGCTTCACACGATCCTCCAACCTCACCAAGCACCGGCTCGTGCACACCGGGGAGAAGCCACACGAGTGCCTGGAGTGTGGGAAGGTCTTCATCCGATCCTCCAACCTGACCCAACACCAGCTCACCCACACGGGCGAGAAGCCACATCGGTGCTTGGAGTGTGGCAAGAGCTTCATTGAATCCTCCACCCTGAGCAAACACCACCTCATGCACATGCAGGAGAAGCCACCTCAGTGCTCATAGCGTGGGAAGAGCTTTTCCTAATTCTCCTGCCTGGCCCAGCACCAGCTCATCCACAGGAAAGAGAAGCCACATCGGTGTTCCCAGTGCAGAAGATCTCGCCGCGCTCCTCAAAACTGGCCCTGCACCAGTGCATCCGCTTCCAGGAGCATCCATCATTTTGCCAGCAATGCAAGAAGGGCTTGGGGACGTCTGCCTGCTCAGCACCCGCCACGGTCTGCATCCAGGCAAGCAGACTCGTGCTTGGGGCCTGCAGCAATAGTTCACCCATCCTTCATCCCTTCTGGGGCACTGCAGCACCCACAGGACAGAGCCTGGCCCCAAAGTCTGCTGAGAGGGACGGGTTAAAAGGAAACCCCTCAGGCAGAGGCCAGCGCAGGTGCTGGGGGATCCTGTGAGATGATCTTTGCCTTGGAGCCTGTGCCACCTCCCCACCTTCCTCCCTTTCACCCATTCTCCACATCAGACTCCTTACTAATCATGCCCTGCAACTTAACCTGACATCCCTGTGCTTGGTCTCTATGTCCTCTCCAGAGCCCTGAAATGGGAACAGAGCAGGACCCAGGCTTGCGGGTGTGCTCCAGGAAGGGGGTCAGTGAGCACCCCAGGGGTAAGATGGGAGGCTCAGCGCAGG